CAACACTACTCCCAAGGCCGCAGAACAAAGTGTAGTGTTGACTCTGACAAGGAAAAGCAGCGGTGATCACTTGTCACTCCAAACGACAAGCTTCTCCTTGCGCCACCAAAAATCTTTTGTGCGACTGTTGATGCAAAAGTGACTGAAGGCCTGATCGCAGTTTTTGAATTTGATTGCAAGATGCACGGTGAGATCGCGTGCTCTGTGGCGTAGGATGACGCTTCCTGCATCACGTTACGCGGCCATCGATCGTGAATGTGCCTGGAACGCTACTCGGAACAGACCATGATGGCAGGGGTAAGATGAGCTTCATTTCCTGCTTGAACTGCTGAGAACCCCCACAAACTGTCCTAGGAGTGTTGCAATGGCAGCAGGCCGTTGAAATATGCCCCGTACAGCATGGAGAGATATTCGTCTTTCACACTTACCTCCTGCAATCCCGAACATAGTCCAACAGTAAAAGTCCCTTGTTTTCATGTCGATGCTCGACAAAAGCGACTAGCTCGGTCCCTTTGTGTTGACTGTCACGCGAGCAGCACAGGCTGCACGCACTTGTCGCGTGAACTGCATGAGAGATTTCTTACGTCATAAAGAATGTGATTTCATCATCATTTCACTGGTCTTCGACCTACATGGTCAGGGAAAGTCCCGGTTCGTAGGCCTACAACACGGTCAGCGTGTTCTTGAGCGCCGTAACAACACAAGTATGATCACTTCCAGACCAACGGGCGTTCAAGGCGAGTAACAAGCGCACTTGACAAAGGTGACTCTGAAATCTCGTGAGCCGTGGGCCACGCGACTTGGCATTCTTGCGTCACAAGGCACGTGATTTCACCGTGCATCTTGCAATAAAATTCAAAAACTGCGCTCAGGCCTTCAGTCACTTTTGCAGCAACAGTCGCACAAAAAATTATTGGTGGCGCAAGGAGAAGCTTGTCGTTTGGAGTGACAAGTGATCACCGCTGCTTTTCCTTGTCAGAGTCAACACTACACTTTGTTCTGCGGCCTTGGGAGTAGTGTTGGAGTAGAAATTGCTGAGGAGACGTCGCGGAGTGGCGAGCTTTCCTGCGCAGGTATGACTTTGGCCGTATTTCAGCATGGTCGAGTGGAAAAATGCAAAAAAGTTTATTTCAAGAAAACCCCAAAAGGAAGATGGGGGACATGTCCTCAGCGCTAGAAGAGGTGTTCTACTATCTGCCGGTGTATAGTTCTGGCCAATTGAGGACGTAGCTGGCTGTTTTGCCAGCGCTTGTAAATTGGCTATTTTCAAGACGATCATTTGTGGCGTTAGGGGGCGATGGACCTCGTCTTCTGGGATGCTGGCGTGGCTAAGCGGTACTGCTCCAGGAACTCTTCTAAGGTGAGGCAATGTTGGCTTGATGGAGTTTTGTTCATAGCTTGTTCGTATACGCTGTGGCGTGACTCGTTTCTAGACCCATAAATAATGTGATATTTCGGCCATTTTTGAGGGGTATGCAAATTTCAAGGTTCCCTTCAGAAACTTTTTCAAGGGCTTTGCATAATCGATCCACACCCCAAAGGGAACCTACCTGCAAATTTTGAGCGAAATCGGAGAGATCCACTTGCACACATACTTTGGTATTCTCAGACATGCTCTCTTAAGTTCCAAAACATCTTCTCAAGACTTTGACCAGTGAAACGCCGTCACTTAAAAACGTAATAACTAAACCACGTATAGAGCAAATAATTATGGTTTCAGGTTCAAGGTAGCAGTGTGCCAGTACCTCCTCTAGCAAACTTGTGGAACTGCTGTCGACTTGTACACCCCGTAATTTGTTCTGTCAATCCTCAAGTTCTGTGTTCCAGTCGTATCTTCGTTCTGGCTTTAACTTTGTTATCTTTCTTGTTATTAATTTTTGTCTCGAGCTGGGTTTGTGTTCTTTGTGAAAAAGGAAAGAAGAAAAGGGTACAATAGTCTTTATGCACATTGTACAGATGTACGAAGTTCTGTACTATGGCCGTAGGTGTGTACATACCCGGTTGGGTGTTCATTGTGTGCTATACATGCGCGTTTGACCTATTTAGCCTCACAATTCATGGCAAACGATCACTTTTCAAGCCTTCTTCACTTTGGGATTGAACTAACGACTAGCTAGATCTCTGCCGGAAAAAGATTTCGTATGAAATGCCTTCATGGCCCATTTCATAGTGGAAATAGCAGTAAACACAATAGGGTCCTGCACATTCAACACCCAACCGGGTCTACGGGATTCTACAAGATTATACGGGATTTCGTGCATCTGTACAATGTGCATAAGGCCTATAGGAAGACAGCCGCCAGCAAGTACAAACAGCAAAGTTTACACCTTTCCTGTGTGTGAATATAGTGTAGGTGAGAAAGGTAGTGGCAGATGAATGTGATGTGGCGGCAAAGTTTACACCTTTCCTGTATGTGAATATAGTGTAGTGAGAAAGGTAGTGGCAGATGAATGTGATATGTGGCGTGTTATGAGTTCACATTTGATCTGTTTATTGCCATTTTACGACTATTGTCTCCTCGTCGATTATTTTAGTATTCACGCATTTTGCTTTCTCAGCATGTTGATGTTGCCCTCATACATTATCAGTAAGTAAGCATGCAGAAGGACGCTTGACACAGGTGGAGGGGTATGCAGGTCAATATCAAAGACCTATTGCTTGCGATAAGCACCATTGTGCTACGTTGTGCCTTTCAATCATTCAATATAATTATTCAATATTTGGACAATCCAGAACGTATTCTTGTGACTTTCAATTTTGAAATTTGAATTCAGTACAATTTCACAGTGCGCATCGAGTCCTTTCTTCTATCATGCATACAGCAGGCTGCGGAGAATAGACAAAGCGCTTGCAAAGTAAGCAGAAGCAATCGTGTTTCTTCACCCGTTGTCTATTAGTTTTGATCAAAGGAATATAGCATCTTACGTGGGGATTGGTTGATGGCTTGCATTTGTACTTTGTCCATGTCTACCTTGCCAATGACAGTGTCCAGTTTCTCATTCCGATAGTGTTTTATAAGGAGTAGTATGATCGCCACACCAGCAAGCATAACACCTATGCCAACTGACACACCCACAGTAACAGCCGAGCCACTGGTCTCTCCTTCTCCTCCTTCTCCCTCTGCTGACGTCACTAAAGCAAACAACACATGGTTCATTGAGAAAACACGTGGATTTTAAATAAAAAGCTATTAAAAAGATGACATTTTTGCCAGAATTCTAAAATGGCAGTTCCAACCGAATCATTCGAAGGTTCAGACAGGGAATTGATTTGCCTGAAAGGAGAAAACAATGCCACACCCAGCAGGACTCGAACCCGGGACCTTGCTTATCACGAGCAACGCTCTAACCAGTAATCTATGGGTTAAGGCTGAACCTACAAGGTGCTGACAAGTGTTTCACTCCAAGTGCAGCTCACAACACGTGCCACACATACTGATGGCACTGGGTCTGTTTTCCCCCCTGCCAGGGGACCAATCAAGGTCACTTTCTGGAACCTACTACCAGAAAAGAAAGAAATAGTTCAATCTTGAGAGGAGTAGGATAACTATATGTAGACAATCGAGAACGTACTGCTGTGACTGTATTGCATAAGAGTCTTTCAAGTTTGCTCTACAGATTGATCAGGGTGTGTTTACCCATTCCAGCAGACCAGGCTGGTTGGGTTTTGAGAGCCCGACTTGGATGACTCAAGAGTCAAATCCTTTTGATCCTTAGTGATCTGATCATTTATAAAGTCAGGCAGTTGTAAGTTGTGTGATGGTCTAGCATTTCAATTTCTGTCCAAGTCGTGTTTGGAAGTTGATGGATGGTTACAGCTGTGCTGTGACCCACAGTACATCGAGAATTCCTGGTCTTGCATGAGGGAAAGGCGTGGATGCAGCAAATGGGACTCAGGATCTTGGGGGTGGTTATGATCTGCTCACCGCAACTGACAGGAGCTGCATGTGCTCTCTCATCCTAGAGGGTAGTGGGGCCATGTAAACCATGGCTGTTTGTCCTGTAAGACAGAGCCTGGCTGCAAGATTCCTTTCACTTCAAAGCAATGCTTGGTTCCCACTGTTTCTAACTCATGGTCTTAGAGCACCATGCAATGGCTGTCAGCACTTTTAGATTTAAATGCATCACCAAATCCTCTTGTTAATGCTCAATACCTTGAGCGCCGTCTATGCTGTAAAAGTAGTCGCGATAAAAAGTTCTGGGTAAGCAGCATTCAATTTTCTCTTTTGGAATGAACAGTGGATTATAAGTTGGTTTCTCCTAACGGTATTTAATAAGTTAAAACAGAAAGGTTTCGCAACTTTGGATAAGAATGCATACATAATTATGACTTGTGAATGTAGATCCCCCCCCCCCCCACCCTCTGTTATCAAGGAAAAGCATCACTAGGAAAGTCAATATTATAAACTGGATGATAAGGCACATTACATTCTGCAATATTTTGCTAGAGGCTACAGACATTTATGGGAGGGACAAGAACTGTTTGCAGGCTTCATAGCATCGTGTTTCTCAATGATCTGTGTTAACAGGACAAATGTAAAACGTAACAAATTGACAGAACTTTACTTTACGCAGCTTCCAAATCCCGGCCGATCATGCCATCGTGAATCACTCACACCCTTTCCAGCATGTAATTCTTAGCCAACTCAAATAAAAAAAATCACAGTTCCCATGAGACTCGGTTTATCTATATAATTATATGGAGGCCACGTTTTCCGCATACGTAGGAACGCACCACCCTTCAAGGATCCAGGTGCAGATGCAGCTCCTAAAGCGGTGGGAGGTGAGTAGATCAGCTTCACCAGCATGTGGTCAAAGACCGAAAATTCCATTCACTGCATCCATGTTTTCCTCGTGCCAGGCCACGAGTTCCAAATTAACTGTGGGTCGCAGCACGGGTGGAAAAATCCTTTCGCTTCCAAGCAGGACTTGAACCTGGTACCCTCTGTTTCTCAATCATGGTCTTAGACCACCCCACGATGCCTGCCTGCAAAATGAAAACAAAGTAATAATACTCGTGTGATGGCTGAGGAACAAAGGACTGTTCCTCCAGCCCACTGAAGCACCAAGCTGCTATTTACCCAGTATATGAATAAAAAAACATGCACGGTTCGCGTCAGACTCGACTAGAGGTCGAGTTTTCAGCATCCGTAGGAACACCACCACCCTTCAAGGATCAAGGCGCAGATGCAGCTCCTAAAGCGGTGGGAGGTGGGTAGATCAGCTCACCAGCAATGCATTAATTGCCATGGTAATCGTGACAGGTGCCATTATAGAACAGTTTATCAATCTGGCAACTAACCTATAACCTGCTATTCCTGCTGTGTCTCGATAGAGCCGTAAATATGGTGTCCCAAAAGATCGGAGCGATCAACACAATTGAAGACAGCATGTACTGAAAGGCCTATAACAGCAGCATTTGCCAACGTGAGGCAATCGAACAACTTCCATATGAGTTTGATCACTCCCGATCAAGATAAGAGTGGCGTCTAGTTGATTGAACTGAATGTGTAGTCGTTAAACTACCCCAGCTCGGGCATGAAGCCACACTGCAAACACACTGGCAAACTTACGTTCACAGAACGGCAGGGATGCAGACCAGTCCCCATGCTCCGTGCATGTACTGATAACGGAACCATTCAAAAGGAACCCTTCTTGACAGGAGTAATGGACTTCAGCCCCGTAAAGCAATCCATACACTTCCCTAGTGCCATTGTCCGGTGTTCCTGGATCCTGACACTTGGCAACTGCAAGAGAAACAAGAAAACAATCATAGGGTGGAATTCGAGTGCCAAAAGGTACACTGCCTCGCATCAATCTTTCCACAAAATGCTGGAGAGCCCAGCATCCGTTATTTACCGTTTCTGCCATGGTGCGATACGATTTGTGCGATTTCAGCCAATCAGCGGCCATTCTGAGCAGGGTATATAGAGCTTTGTACTCTGCTAGTCGGGGGGGGGGGGATATATACCCCCCTCGGTTCACTCGGTCCAATAAACAAAATAAACAAGAGAGTTTGGAAGCTCAGGGCCCGACGCTCTGCTTTTTTGCCTAGCTCATCATGTATGTTATTAGAACTGATGGAAATGTTTTTTTTCCATTGATTGGCTACATCATTGTATTCCACAAAAGTTTCAATCAATTTGAATATGAGTTAGGGAAAATAAATTGTAGAATTTATCGGGGATTGTTATTTTCTCTCAATTCTTACTCCTTCTTTTCCTTTTATCTCCTTGTAATCGGATTTTCTGGCCTTTTTGTAGTAATACATTGACCTGTTGAGCCAATGAGGTAAAATTATATTCCATACAATAAGATACAATACCATAATACAATAATATCCTGGCCTTGATAGTGTGTTTGTGCTTAGCTGTTGCTGATGGCCGAATGCATGGTTGCCTGTGGAGCACATTACATAACTTTACAGTCTCCTATAATACGCATCCTGTCCGAAGGCAAAAGAGGCTGCGGATTTAGCTTTTCTGCACGTTTATCAGCAATGACTACTGATCTTCAGCAACTTGGGTCTCCTATAATACGCATCCTGTCTATGCTTTTGTAATGCTAACATAATGCTCGGGATAGCACTGGCTACTGATCTTCAGAAACTTGGCCTGACTATCACTCACAATAAGACTGTTGTAATATTCATCGTTCCAAAGTGGTCGCTGGATTCTCCCACAGTTTCATCGCACTGTTGTACGACATGCTACACGACATCCTTTTACCGGACAACACCGTGTTGATGTCTGGCGCTGTCGCCTTCATCTCTGGTGCGGGTGTAATCTAGTGACTTCGTACATGCGTTATAATAGACCAATCTCTTTGTCTGGGTTCGTGAAAGGGTCACGCGTGCAAGTCAGCTCGTCTGAAGTGCATGGTTTTGTATTTAGTTGGTATGCGTCAGCTTGTGAGACAGGGAGCCTTTTGCTCCCCGAGCTTGTATACCGTATATGTATATATTATAACAAGGAACCAAGTGTATATAGAGATATATACACCAGTATGAAAACCGAGGCGAAGCCGAGGTTTTTTATAACTGGTGTATATATCTCGATATACATGAGGTTCCTTTGTTATAATATATTTATACCTCTCCATATTCACCGTGTGTGACCTCCTAATGGCTTGTTCCTCGCTGACAACTACTGCTAATTCCCCTTAGCGGTGTATATGGAGATATATACACCACTAAGGGAGAGCATGCCTAAGACTGTAAGTGTATATGGAGTGAGGTATAATCTCTATTATAAGCACAGGTCTCCATTACTAGCACCATCTCTAATACTAGCACACTTTGAGCACCATTCGAAACATTATAAGCACGGTTTCTATTATTAGCACGGCCTTGTTGGAAATCAATGCGGCATGCATGATATCTAGCATGTATTTCTTCTTTCTCTGAATGGATGTATTGGTTGAAAAAATATAAGCACGGTCTCCAATATAAGCGCGGTCTCCAATATAAGCACGGGGCAGAGGGGTGTTGAAAAATATAAGCACGGCGCTTATAATAGAGAATATACGGGGGGGGGGGTAAATAGTGTTTTACATTGTCGACCGTACGACTCGATTTGCAGAACGGCTGCCCGATACGAACTCTAAAACCAGAAAAATAATAATGGCTACAATGCCCAACCATACCACAACGAACTGATCGGCTACATCATTGTATTACAAAATGTTTCCATCTGTCCGAATAACATGCATGATGAGCTAGGCAAAAAGCATAGCGTAGGGCCCTGGGTGAAAGAAATAAACTTTCTCTTTGCATTCCAGTGTAATACGGCACCGTCTACCACCTTGATGACCTTGGCAAAAATGCATAGGGATTAAATTTTTCAATTCTCCTATTTTTCAAGATATAACCTAGGATTCGAACCCACACTATCGCCCTGCATGCATCCCCCGATACTCTTCACATACATACTCATTCTTCCAAGTTGCTTCACGTTATGATCTTGCATTTGAAAGCCCTATTTGAATATTGTGGCCAGCTGTCTTTGATGGTACAGTATGGGACAGGTACGGGATAGCGCCAGGCATGGCGACGGCACAAACAAACAAACCGCTAACCGCATACGTTACTGAAGTAATGTCTTTTGCATAGCTACGGGAATAGAAGTGTACCATTCCTAATCTGCATTATCGTGTGTCTCTCATATTTTCCCTCGTGCTAATCAACTCTTGAAATTATCCGTCGGTATATCCCTCATGCTGTAGTATGCATCCATTTCTTATAGGGTATCCTGCAAAAAAGGCCTTAGGCCTGGGGGGATTGTCCTATTCAAAATTTAAATTTAAATAATAATAATGCTATGAACAAGCCAGTAGATAGGCTAGGGGCTTACTTTCACAAGTGGGCTGATCAGGAATCCATGTCTTATCTGCAGTACAGACCCTAAAGACAGAGCCATTAATATTGTAGCCAAGGTCACATTTGTATGCAACAGTGCTCAGGTAGGAGTAGCCTTGCAGAAGACGTATGCCATTCTCCGGAGGGCCGGGGTCGGAACAATGCTTGACTAAAACAACTGCAAGAGAAATGGACAAAGGAATGCGATACGCACATGGACGGCCATACAAACAGGTGGAAACTGATTATATAGAAATGCATGGAGGCAGTAGGCTTTTAAAATAGTGCTCTATACCTGATTCAGGCAGAGCGGTGTACACTAAGGCACACAATGAAAACCTTGAGCAAATTGTTCGATGTCTGATGATCAGTTCAGCCATGAAACTCTGAGTCACGACGGATTTTGCCCAAGGTTTTCATTGTGTACCTTTGTATATAGGTGCGCATAGAAAGGCAAACAGATAACACACCTATAGAGGGATACAAATAAAGAGCTGGAACACAAAACTCGATAAATCCATTTGAGCACTTTTCGGACCTTGTTATCACTTTTGTCACTTAGGGTATGCCGCGTTTCTATGCAGAATGAGCGCAATTGCGCCAATTTAGCGCTATAAAGATAAGTTATTCTTTTTATTCTTTCATTCAACATCATATGCCTCCACTGATGAGCTCAGGAGGAGCGAACCAGCTGCCTGGAGGGTCATTGTCAATATCAATCTATGTACTGGAATTGTCCTCGCTGTGGTGATGGTGATGTGAGTGCAGAGTTTGGATCGGCCAAGAGCGCAATGTGGTGGTGTGGTGTATCGGATTTCACATTACATTACCATCATAGTTATTTCTTTGTGCATCACCGCTTTCTCTAGAATTGTTCGTGACTTCTCAATAAAACCTTTGTAACATTTCTATGTAGCGCAAGTGCGCATTCACAGTTCGAACTGTATCAAAAATAGCCGATAGGGTACCCGTACTACCCGGATAAAAATACCCGGACCCATTACCCGACCAATCCCCTACCCTTTGCAGCCCTGAAAGAGAGAGATAGATAGATAGATAGATAGATAGATAGAGAGGGAGACAGAGAGACAGAGAGAGATAGATGGATAGACAGATAGATAGATAAATAGATAGATACAAAGGAGAAATTTTGGCAATTGCCGGAAAAGTGCAGAACGTTTCACACGGAAAAGAGAAATAGGTCCAGTTTGGATTTGTCGTGACTCAAAGTTTCATGCCACTGCAATCATCAGACGACTGATAATAAAAACCTAAGAGTAATCATTATGAATCAGATCATGCGTGATACTTGGCGCTTAGATTGTCATTACTCTACGCGATACACGAATGAAGGCCACTTTCACACTGATGTTGTGGATGATGTAAGGGATAAGTAATGGCGTAATGTTGGCACTGACGTATGCTAATTCAGGCATGGTTGTGATGGATAAGCAGATAAAGCACTGATATTTGCCAAAAAACAGTCATGATGGTGCGGGGTACTGTCCTTGCGCGGCAGTTGCAACTGGCTGCTGCTTGTTCTACTATGTCATGCTAGGTGTGAAGTGTTGTATGTAATATTGGTTTTCATGGCGGCGTTTTGAATAGTTCGTTTCTTCTATTCAGGCTCTTTGGGCTGTTGGCATTGTTCAATATTGTAGGTTCCTCCATTTTGCATAGGTTGCACCTTTTTGACTTGGAGTACGCCTGTGTTTTTGTGTAGAAATGCTACCAAACAGAGTCCCCGCACGCTTCAGGTTCCACACATGGTTTGACAGTTCAGTTTTGCTCTGCTACCGTTCGTGGCGGAAGCTCATTGTGTGATTATTGTACCGGTCCTTGAAGGGAGGCTCGGTCAGTCTGGTGTACTCTTTGTCGTCGTTTACTGTTGCTTGATACAATATCGATCTCGACAGGCAATCACCATCAAGGGGGAAATGTGAGGCATTACGGCAGTTACATATCTTGGCATCGGGTTGTGGCTGGCTTGCAGTCGCTGCCAGAACTCGCTTTTTATTGGTATTGATGATGCTTAATATATTTGCATGCAGCTGTAGCTAACCTTGACAGTGTTCCTGTTGAATATTGTATTTAGTGGTGAGCCTTTTTCCCGTGTAGATAGATAGATAGATATAGATATATAGATGGATAGATAGATAGAGAGAGAGAGAGAGGGGAGGAGGAGGAGAAGGAGGAGGAGGAGGAGAAGAAGGAGGAGGAGATGGATTAGACGAGGGAGTGGACGAGGGAGAGGGCGAGAGCGAGGGAGAGGGATAGGGATAGGGAGCGGGAGAGGAGATGGAGCGGAGGGAGAGAGGGAGAGGGAGAGGGAGAGGAAGAGGGAGAGGGAGAGGGAGAGGGAGAGGGAGAGGGAGAGGGAGAGGGAGAGGGAGAGGGAGAGGGAGAGGGAGAGGGAGAGGGAGAGGGAGAGGGAGAGGGAGAGGGAGAGGGAGAGGGAGAGGGAGAGGGAGAGGGAGAGGCTAGCAAAAGAAGATCTGTGCATGCATCTACAGGAAAATGACGAGAAAGGAAAATTGAGGTCTTTGAACTTGATTCTTCAAACTTCTGGTCAAAACGACAGAAAGCTAATCACTCACGTTCACAAGTTGGCTTTGGTGCTGACCAGGTGTGATTTCTAAGACAATTGCTGAATCTCGAGCCTTGGAGACGGTACCCTCTGTTGCACACGTATGTCACTACAGTATCAAAGTGTAAGCCTTGATGCAAAAGCTCACCATTGCTTAATTCACCGGGATGCGGACAAAGGGGTGCTGAGACCATAAAAGAACAACAAATGATTTCAAAATGATTCGTTCTAAAATTCACCCATTGATTTATAGTAGTAAACAGACGTAGAGGTCTTGAATTGTTTTTATTCCCGTAGCTATGCAGAAGACGTTACTTCAGTAACGTCTGGCGCTAGCCAGGGTCCACACAGCTTTAATTTGGTGTTTGTTTGTGTGTTTGTTTGTTTGTGTCACGCCTGGCGCTATTTTGTATCTATCCCGTACTGTACCGTACCAGCAAAGACAGCTGGCCACAATATTTTTGTTTGTTTGTGCCATCGACATGCCTGGCGCTATCCCGTACCTGTCCCGTATCATCAACAGTACGGTACCATCAAGAGAATGAGTATATATGCGAAGTGTATGGGGGGAATGCATTCAGTGCAGTAACATTAAATTTTGTGTGGATTTGTGTGCGAGGCCGAGATCCCACTAGCAGGCTGGCTGGGCCGCCTGTCGACCAGCCCGGAAATCGCATGCAGGCCGATAGCATAATAATTATAACAGCAGGGAGTCATATTATGTAAACGACTCCCTGCTGTATGGGGAGATTTTCTGGAAAGAAATACGAAGTAGGGAGACGAGTAAATGCAATCAGAATGGATGTTAGTTGCCGTCAGTATAATAATAATAATAATAAGAAGAAGAAGAAGAAGAACGCCCGTGATCGGCAGAGTCAGCGCCGGTCCCAGGAAACGTCAGGACAGACATCCCGTCGACTCCAGAACGCCCGTCATCGGCAGAGTCAGCGCCGGTCCCATAGCTATGCAGAAGACGTTACTTGTACTTCAGTATCTCATTGAAACGTTTTTGCAAAACAATGATTTAGCTAATCAAAGGAAAAAGCATTTCCATCAGTTCTAACAACATGCACGATGAGCTAGGCAACAAAGCATAGCGCAGGGCCCTGAGCTTCCAAGCTCTCTCGTTGAAATCAAAATTATTTGCCAAGTTGGAAGGAGGGAAAAACAGCTGCTTGCGGTTACTTCCGCATGCGTGCATGCACTCCATCAACAATCATCAACAATACAACAGCACCCAAAGGGTGTTCGGATATAAGAGGCCACATTCCACGTACTGCTCTTTTCTCTCCGAAACTCAACACTTGCAAGCCAGATATGAACGAAAGAAGCGCGTGGCCTCTAATTTCCTAAAACTTTGAAATTTTCCGTGAAGTCCAACTTTGAAACCCAAAGGGTGGTTTCTTTAATTCTATTGGTGAGACTTCAAGACTGCCATGCTCCACACTCGCAACAAGGAACGGTTGACATTGGTTTATGATGACAAAGTATGTCAAACACTGGTATATGTGCAAAGGATTGTAAGGTTCAAGGCTATGGAAAGACCAAAGAGGGGAAGGCAAGCGCAACGAAAACGAGCACAAGCTACAGTCCCAACAGAACAAAGAATGTCGATCGTTACTGGACGATGATGAGACCAGTAGGATATTATTTTAATAAAGCGGTCTAACTACAATTCGAGGCAGCAAAGCAGCACACCACCCAACTTGGATGGGTCATAAATATCAAGTATACGTGAAGTTGGAAGGCTGTCGGTTAGCGTTACGGAGATGTGTTGAAGCTAGGTGTCAGGACGTCGAATGTCTCAGTACTCTGTCAGTGTTGTGCCTAGTTGTTGCACTTTCTGACTGTATTTAGTATCTGGTTACAGTGATGGAGAGTTACTCATAACTCGTATCCATAAGTTCTTTTCCTTTCTACATTTATTATTGGCTCAACATTCGAGTTTCAAATTGCACACCTGATGAGCCGTCACGAACCATACGGCGAAACATATGTCGTGTGAAACAACTTGTTTTGTATACTAGTCCATCACAATGTCATGCATGATGAGTACTGTAGGAGTTTGGCTTTCGGCTTGTACAATTCGTTTTCGCAAGGCTTCCCCCTTCTTTACTTATCTTTGATATTTATGACCCATCCAAGCCGGGTGGTGAGCTGCTTTGCTGCTTCGAATTGTAGTTAGACTGCTTTGTCATATATCCTATTGGTCTCGTCATCGTCCAGTAACAATCGACATTCTTTGTTCCGTTGGGACTGTAGCTTGTGCTCGTTTTCGTTGTGCTTGCCTTCCCCTCTTTGGCCTTTCCATAACCTTGAATCTTCCAAGTTGGAAGGCGGTCGGTTAGCGCTACGGAGATATGTTGAAGCTAGGTGTCAGGACGTCGAATGTCTCAGTACTCTGTCAGTTTTGTGCTCAGTTGTTGCACTTTCTGACTGTAGTGTCTGGTTACAGTGGTGGAGAGTTACTCTTAACTCGTATCCATATGTCCTTTTCTTTTCTACATTTGGCCCAGTATCTGCGAAAATGGACCTTAGGGTGATTTTTCACAAACTGACTTTTTTCTGCTGTTGTCATCTATAGGTATCTAGTGATCACATGGAAAAGTATTAGACCAAACAAAGCAATGTTCATGACCCAGAAGCTTCTCAAACAAGCATAGGTACATATCAGGAAATACAACAATTTATCACAGTGTTTTCCACATCGGAATACTATGTGTTACAGTGAAAATAATAAAAAATAGACAGTGTAATAAATCATCCATCTAGTTTTTGTTGTAAAACAACTCTTGCCAGTCTTGGGCAACATCTGGCATAGAGCATGGATGGCCTTGATCCTCATATCTGCATACCAATGAAAACTGGTTGAACGCCATCCCAAGTCTGCTGAAAATCCAGAGAAATGCAGAACAGGAGGGAGGGTGGCTACAACTACACCTGGAGTCCCAGTCTGTGCATCCCACAGGGAATACGACACAGGCACAACATTCTAACACCCTACACTTCATCTCATACACGATTTAGAGGTAGTCCACCACTGCTGCACCTCTGTGAAAAGCTCTGTGGGAACTGGCTGCATGCGCGTCAGTGCGCCATGATTCCAGCACTGAGCGCAGAGAGTTCGCAGCTCATAAATCAATGTTCAGCTCTTGGCATCTTGCCCCGTCCAAGGGGTTTGGTGTTCACCGCGGAGTCCAGCATGGGAGCCTGGGAAATTTCAGATCATGTCACTAGCAGCAGCGCTCTTTCGTCCTGACTCGAGTTGATCCAGGACATTTCAGTTCGTCTACCTCTGTTGCCGTCGCCTCGCTAGTTTCTCCTCGTTGAGTATTTCCCCTGAGCTGTACTAAATTCAGACGGGCCCTACAAGGATTGTCAGATGTCAGAAAGTACTTTTGCCAGCAGAGAGCTCCTTTGGCGGTGCGCCTAAATCAAGTTGAAATTCTGGTCGCTAAATAGGAATTGCGCGTCGACAAAAACATCTTCTGGAAACTGTCGTTGTTCTCTATCAGACGCGACGATTCCTGCCTAAGAAAGCCAATGACTTCTGGCAGAGCCGGACGGCAGCTAGCTGGCCATCGTGAACGAACTCTCCTTCTAATAGGACGATCAAAAGCATTCATTGTTGCGATGAACTAATTTTTTGTTTGAATGTGCAGAGCACGAAGCAAGAGTTTTTTGCCGTTGCAGAAAATGACTTATTCTGAAAAAAATGATTTTCACCCGAAGGTCGATTCTCGCTGATACTGGGCCATGTATTATTTATATTATTGGCTCAACATCCGAGTCCCAAAACACTGGTATAATTATTATAATATCAGTTTTTGGGAAGCGTCCAAGGGAGAAAGAGAATGGAAAGACTGCGAGAGAGAATAGAGAGAGAGAAAGGTGTGATAGAAAAATACAGTGCTACATCAAGGGCCTGTGTAGCTCTGGAAAATTTGGGTGTGTGAACAGATGCCCAGGTGAATGGAACAAAGGGTTACCTGCAGGAAGCTATTAGTTGCAGGCCAGCTCAGCTGGGGAAAGGATGTACGGCAGATAAGTACCCAAGGATCAGAAGCAGCTTCAAGTTCGAATAGGGTTCTTCTATCATCTAGAAATCTATACAGATCCGTGAGAAGTTAAAAGTCGTTGTCACCATTTTTTGGTTTCTCATTTCAAGGTAATAATAGGTTTTTCTTAAAACTTGTTACTCCGCTGATTTGAATTGAATAAATTGCTTGCTTATCTGATGGCACAGATAATTATTCATTTAATTGCATTTACATAAATCGTTCAATAACTAGTCGATCCCGCTGTTACTACTGATTACCATGTTGAAAGTATGGTCTCCTGGCCACCTGATTTTTTGTTTGCTGCCAAATCCGTGGACAAAGTCAGTGGTCATTGCTTAGCGCAAACTTACAGGGGGTCGAAATGCATACTTAAAAAAGTCTCAATACTTTTTCTCTGAATGAATAATTAAGAAAATAATGCCAACCAGAACCAAACGTAAACAACGTTCGTGATCCTAGTATAAGGATATATGCAGACCGGTAGGCAGGGTATAACAGGTGACTTCAAACTTTTGGGAATACTTGACTGAATTGCCTAAAAAAGGACTATCGGCATTAGGAAGCTCTCAGCTGTTGTCTCAAACATACCTGAACGCGATCCGAGGTCCTGGAGGGGATTTATCAGGCTCGAAAAAAATAAAAAAGCAAGTTTCAAATTGTATTTAAAACTCGGTTATTTAGCCAATAATAAAAGTAGAAAGGAAAAATACATATGGAAACGAGTTAAGAGTAACTCTCCATCACTGTCATCGTCTAGTAACAATCGACATTCTTTGTTCCATTGGGACTGTAGCTTGTGCTCGTTTTCGTTGCGCTTGCCTTCCCCTCTTTGGTCTTTCCATAACCTTGAACCCTCCAAGTTGGAAGGCTGTCGGTTAGCGCTACGGAGATGTGTTGAAGCCAGGTGTCAGGACGTTGATTGTCTCAGTACTCTGTCAGTTTTGTGCCTAGTTGTTGCACTTTCTGACTGTAAAATTGTATTTGTGCGTGTTTTATAAAGGTGCACTTCAGAGGGGGATTTTCTCATTTTGACCAATGTCCAGCCAGCCAGGTGCTGTGACGCAGGCTGCGGGCATTCTCACCCCTGCAAAAATCCCAGTGCTGGAGGATCAAACTTGAGGGATTTTCAACGCGATCAGTATTGCAATTGATACGACCTAGGCGCATACGCTTGCACGGAATATGCTATACGCTACAGTTGTATTCCTCATGGATAGAGCTTTCCAGGAAGAGCTGGATTGCGAGAATCAACGTAGAAATGATGTTATTATTATTGTCGGAGAAATATGTGCTAGAAAGGCACTTTCGCAAAGCAGTTCTACGAAAGTTATATAACTCAACAAATGATCTGTAATAAGGAATGAAACATTGTGAACCAGCTTTGAAGCTATTGCCTGTCTCACTGGCACAAGCCTCTTGAAAACATTACACAGTAAGCATCTTATGCAGCATTTACCTCTACAAACAGGTTGTTGGCCAGACCATTTTCCATTTTCCTGACACACGCGACTTTCCGCAAAATAGCCTCGATCGCATTCATAGTTGACAGCGCTGAGATACACCGAGGTGAAATTGAGCCTCTTACCATTCTCAGGTATGCCAGGATCGTCTAAGCATTCAACACCTAGAGGAAGACAGACAAGTCAATCAATGGTCAATTTCAAGCTGCTCTTCATTATGACTTTATTGTGATCTGACACTTCAAAATTTGATGTTGGTAGTATGACCCAACATAGTTCTGAATCCCCAAAGGAAACATTCTTCATTCATAGGTACATACATGTTAAATATGACAAACCCATCAACCAATAGTGGTCGATTTTCGTGTGGCGGTCTGAATAAGGCATAAAAAGATCCGAGACCTGCAAAGGACTTCCGCATACACTCTCCAGAACTCCATTTACCGTAGCCTTGGCAAATCAAAGGCAGTTGGCCAGTGAATGCGTTCAGTTTGTCACAATCGAATGAATATTTCTCATGGCGAATATTCGTTAACCCGGTATGCAGAGTTTACCGGGCGCCTTCAAACTTTAGTAATTTTGCGAATACTTGACCGAATCACTTCATCATAATGTCTATCAGCTTTAAAAAAAACTGATAGCTGTCGTCTTGAAGCAACCCGAACGTGATCCGACTTTGTGGGGTAGAGTTATGGCGCTCGAACGAAAATCACATCTGGAGCTGTTTTCCTTTTAGCATGCAAAATCCACTTCACTGCTGCTGGGGATTTTGTGAAAATTGACCTACTCAATCTGCGGACAGAACTGTTTCGTCCTTTGTGGACTCATCAGGGCAACACAGAGAAAATGAGGCCGAACCTGATAGCAATGAAAATAAATTTTCCAAAGCCAGATTTAAACCAGGCCCGAACGTACATGAAAATTGACCTACAATTGATGGAGAAATATGTGCCTTCGTTTGTCATGCCTAATAATAGTGACCATATCCAACAAAATGACCAAGAGGTGGGTGTGTGATGTCATCCGTGTTAATGAAAGAATATTTGTTCGTTCGTTCGTTAACCCAAAGAATATTCGGCTACTGGGTTTTGACTTTTTATATTCGTTTCACCACTAGTTTTCACAGTATTACCGTCATGGGAAAAATACCGAGATTTGGGTTCAACCTTAGCAAGATACACGCTAATTTTAGTACACTGTTGCCATGAGTATAGCTTTTAATTTGCGCGGTACAACCATTTATTGCGTCATATACACGACACAAGGTGAAATTGGTACGCTCTACGCAATATTTGGCCTAAAATGTACCGTTTGTTACAACGATGAATCAGCCCCCATAACGTTTTTACGCTGCAGCTTTAACGCGATTTGGGTGATAAAGGCATGAGTTCAGTAAAAAATAGCGTTACCGTTGTTTGCTAAGGGTGTTTGGTATTACAGTGTTACAGTGGCACAGAATTACAGTAAAGAATCCATTATTGGAATTGAGAAGTAAAGTCTCATAAGTGTGTGTGTGGCTGTGTTGCAGCTTGCGGATGATAGGAAAAGCCAGTATAAGCAGTGTAAATAATCAGTAGTTGTGTATGTCGCTACTGGGTGGGCGATAGGAGACACCGAATACGAAGGATTGGCAGTTTGGCAAAGTCAGTTCGATCCACACTGATTCGTATCCAGATACATCGTACATACTGAGGTGCGAGTGAGTGGCGGAACAGTGAATGTAGACCAAGCAACCGCCTCCTCTGCCTGCTGTTGATCGCAGCGATAAAGTGAGTAAGAAGGCAGGTCATATAGACTGTCGCCCTCGAGAGGAGAGCACCATGTTTCTGTAATGGCAATGACAGTGGGGAGTGGATGGCATGTTTGGATAAGGGAGGGAAGCTCATCGAACTTATTTAGCAAGCTTCGGGCAGTTAACGAGAAAAACGAGAAAAGCATTATAAGGCCATGGTAAAAAATAAAGTTGATTCTCAGGTCATGAGCCTGTGAAAGTCGGTGCGAGCGAGCGATTTTTTATTTTATTTCCCACAATTTTTATATTTCCAAAGATAGGGTCACACATATGTACGTCACAGGTTCATATAATTTTTTTAATATTCAGGCCAGGGAGTAGAAAAAATATACCGGTATTTTACTACTCCCTGATTCATGCCTTTCGCATTGACCGTTTTCATGTGCGCATATGCATGGATAGAAATAAAAAAATCGTCAGTGCGCCGCCAAAAATCGGTGCGCGCGTACTTGAGAATCAAAGATAATTTTTACCATGGCCTAATACGGGTATAAGAAGACAAGGGTGAGGAGGAGAAAACAGGAAGAACGTGAATGTTTACAAAAATATTTATGTACACGAGTATATTGTGTGGAGAACAACGTTACTGTATATCCTGTGACGCCAGTGGGCTGAAGTGTGAGCCCTGTGCTGGGGTATGGGGTTGGCTGTGGGCAGGGTCGATGCTGTTGCTCTCTTTTTGTTTTTTGGAATTTTTGAAATCAGGTGAGGATTCCCCACTGGGACCGGATCTCCTGCGTCGTTCGGCGGTGATCCAGGGGGTTTGCTGGCTTATTAGACATCGCTGTCACGGTTAGTCACCAGTGAGGAGAGGAGGTCTTCAGCACGCGCCGAATCTGAGTGATGTAGATAATCAAGCGAGGTACAGAGGGCTTGATGGCTGATCAAAGCCCAAGGGACCAGCCCGAGGGCTTTGATCAGTCATCAAGCCCGACTGTACCTCGCTTGAGTATGCTTCAGACGATCCCCAACAATTTTTATTTTATTTTGAATTCAATCGCTTTATTCTTTGGGTGATCTCGAGTGTGGACAATGTCGGCCTTTCGTTTGGGATTTCAGAGCAGCCTGAAGTCTAAAGTGCATGTCGTTTTCGGCCCGCTCGTAAGTTTCACACAGAGATTTATCATTACAGCAAAAGGAAAGTCATGTCAGTGGACGAAAAACCTGTTTCCTGAGAAAATTCTCAGGACTACGTGACAAGAGCCAGGCGTGGCTGAAGAGCCAAGGAAGTATTTTCACTTCGACCATACACACTTTGCTCACGCTTCACGCGGTTCTGTTGTGCTGGAGCTAGATTTCCAACTCCAGAAGTTGAGAAACACCGCATCCCCGACCACCACCCCTATCGGTTTCTTGTTCTTATAGCCAGATTACCTTGAAAAGACTGACGATTAGGCATGATCAGAGCTTTGATGGTTTTGTCGTACAATTGCCAATTGCAGCAGGCTTTGATGGTTCTCTCGTACATGTTGCCCCTGACAGCGGGCTTTGATGGTTTTCTCGTACAGCTTGCCCCTGACAGCGGGCTTTGATGGAATATCAAAGCCCTCCCTCCGAGGCTGCTGATTGGTCGTAACCTAGCAAAGGGCACGTGGGTCGTTTGAAGGCATGTTTCGGTAGGAGTAGTTGTGTCGGTGTGCGGTGAGTTGAAAGTTGTCGCACCTGTGCCTGTGCTGCCTGGTAGGGTTCCGGGGTGCACTGTCGTGCTGGTAGCCGACATCGGCGATGCGAGATCGCTGACTGGGTCGCTTGGGTGTGAGCTGGGGTGCAGGTCTGCTTGCAGCGTGGTGTCCACGCCGCCAGAAGCCGTTTTGGATACGGCGCTTGCGTGATTCAAACTTTGGGTCGCTTTCGGCGTGGAGTCGGTACGGTGAGAGCTAGCTCCCCCATTCCGCTCTGTGCTGCTGCTTTCTGTGGGGCGTGTGGACATGGTGGAAGTGTGTGCATTGCAATGTGCCTGGTGGACAAAAATGCAAAACATCGTTGCTTCGCTTGGTTTACAGTACGACACCTTTGCCTTGCGATGACTGTCGGCTTTCCAGAAATGTTAACCATCGAAGGGTTCAGAATTGCAATCTGTTGGTATTTCAGGCCGAGAGAGCCAGAGAGAGAGAGCGACAGAACACCAGCAAAAATGAGTGAAAAAGTCATGAAATTTCTTTTTATGTGGCGTGGTGTCTGGCACTAATTCTCTTTATTCCCGTAGCTATGCAGAAGACGTTACTTCAGTAACGTCTGGCGCTAGCCAGGGTCCACACAGCTTTAATTTGGTGTTTGTTTGTGTGTTTGTTTGTGTCACACCTGGCGCTATCCGTATCTGACGGCAAAAAAGCATAGGATGTTATACATTTTTCAATTCTCCTTTTTTTAAGGCATATCCTGGGATTCGAACCTGCGCTATCGCCCTACATGCATTCCCCCATACACTTCGCATTCATACCCATTCTTCCCAGTTGCTTTACGTTATTATCTTGCATTTGAAAGCCCTATTTGAATATTGCGGGCAGCTGTATGTGGCCAGCTGTGTTTGATGGTACGGTTCGGTACGGGAGACGGTGTCGTATTACCCTCGATCGAACCTGTCCCGTACCTATCCCCTACCGTACCGTGCCATCAAAGACGGCTGGCCACAATGCATATTCAAATAGGGCTTTCAAATGCAAGATCACAATGTGAAACAACTTGGAAGAATTAGTATGTATGCGAAGTGTCTCGGGGGATGCATGCAGGGCGCGCGATAGTGCGGGTTCGAATCCCAGGTTATGTCTAAAAAAAGGATTTTTTTAAAGAAATTATAACATCCCTATGCTTTTTTTTGTCTAGGTCATCAAGGCAAAAAAGCATAGCGTAGGGCCCTGAGCTTCCAAGCTCTCTCATAGTTAACTAGTGTTGCAGTGCACTTCAAGAAGTTGAGACATTTTATATTGAACAATTAACCTTTTGTGTATTGTTATGAACCCTGCAAGATTCTCTAAATTGTCAGGATCGTACGACCACACGGCACGAGGACAACTCTTTTCCTTTACACAGTATATTTCACTTCATCTGATAATTAACAATGAACACTAATAACACCAGCTATTTATAGCATGCAAAAACAGCGTACATGCAAAACATAAGCAGATAAAACTGGACATAACAGCGTATACAGCAAAACGCACACAACGCATATAGCGTATGCCATGCAGCAACATCAGCGGTACGGCGGAGTCGAAATACAACATTTCAACGAATACAATGCCATAAGCCGAAGGCCTTTCCCAATTGAGAACTGGTGGTTTACAACATTCTCCCCACCAAAGGGCTTCTCACCGCCGTACAACAATGCACACAAGTCAAAAACGATCCGGGGCTCTGACTACGCGCCCAGAA